AGGCTGCCTCCAAGCAGTAACTTGTTGCTGCAGAAATGGCCTCCTGGATCTCAGAAGTAATTTGGAGAGGGTCTCTTATCTAACAATGGCAAATTGTATTTAAACAGGGAATCAAGAGCAAAGCCAAAGAGCCTCGTCCCTCTCTTTTATTGTGGTGATACCTCAAGTCCTCATTCCCCATGTTTCCTACACATGTAATAAGGCATACACCCACTCAGCATATTTGTACATAAAAATACACAAAACAGGCAAAAGTGGGAGGGCACTTTGCCTATGAAGGGAATTCAGAAGTGCACAGATGTACCTGATGCCCTGGTATGGCTGCAATTGTTATTTGATACACAGGGGGGTGTAAGGAGGTTGTGTGGAGAGAAGGAAGAGAGAAAACATCCAGGGCTGGCAGTGAAATCCAGTCCAGGCAGAACCTCTGGGATGGAGGGATCTGTCACTGGAGGGCTGGAGGCTGGGATACACCATCCTCTGGGGAGCATTGCTCCCACTGGTGCCATTTTGCACCCTGTCATCTTTCTAGTGACACATCTCACCTGGGCACCGCTGTCCTTCTGGGGGACACGAAGAGCTGCCTGCCTGATCATCAGCTCCCTGCCAGTGTCGCCTCTGCCAGTCCCACCAGAGGAATCCTCTGGCTCTGGGCAGTGGTGCAGAGGCTCCCCTGTCTCCTCCACGCTGAGTGAAGCTCTCCTGGAGCTGGAGCTGCTGACAAACGTGTTGGATGCGGCTGTCTGTATCCAAGGAACGAGCGTGCGAGCGGCACGGCGAGCCAAGGCACACGGTGGGAGCGATCCACGGGCAGAATCTGGGTGCTGAGGCACGGGCTGGAACATCTGATTGGAAGGCTGGGAGGGAAAAGGGAAGGCTGAATTGTTTATGGTTTGTTTTTCATTCATCATTCCTGCTTGTGTGGGTGGACAAGGAGTGAATGAGTTTCTCGGGGAGGGCAGCAAATAAAAGAGGCACACATTTCCTTGAAGGATGAGTAGATTTTTTTCCTTCCTACTGCCTAGGTGAATATGTCACAAAGGGGCTGGAGGGAACCCTAACTGCTTTTCTCCCAGGTGGAGGAAACTACTTGCTCTTGATTTTTTCCCTTTGATCACCATGTGCCAAGAGATAAAAGGCTTTTTGGGGTGGGTTTCATCATAATAAAGTCCTGCTTTTTGTCCCTACAACAAATGTTCTCATCTTTTCTTAGGACTGTTGAACATCTCGTGGAATTACAGTGGGTCAATGCTCTCCCAGCTGAGGGAAGGATGGGTGGCTGGATCAGGCCTCTATGCCAGGACAGTCAATTTCTGGGAGGGACAGCACTGGTGCCTACAGCTACAACTCTCATTTCTGCCTTCCCCTGCTCTGGAAGTTGACATTAACAGGCAGGAGATATATAGAAGCAGATGATTTTTAAGGTTTCTTCCAACCTGAGCCATTCTCTGATTCTGTGGTTAGTCAATGTCCAGGTTGGAGTCTCAGATTGAGTGTTGGACTTTGCTTTTTCCACATAATTCCTGTGTTCATCATTTATCACCTGCTTTTCTCATTTCACCTGAGGATGTGGTGGTGTCCCCCTGGTGCCAGGAGTCTGGTGTGTCCTGGTGAAGGGCTGGCTCCTGCCCCACATGGGGTACTGATGCTCTCCATGGGCACCCCCCAACTGAGCAAGCCAAATCCTTGCAGAGAAGACATGGAGGTGGGAGAAACTGATTGAAGTGGATTTGTTGGCATTTGTGGGGCTTTTGTGACACACCTGATTGTTGCAGGGAAGGAATGTCCCCTAGGGAGGGAAAGCAATATTCTCCTGGTTGGGGTATGGGATGGTATCTCCTGTATTTGCCATCTTCACACCAGCATGGCTTGAGGCTCCCTGCAGGATAGAGCTGGTGCTGGGAAGGGCTGTGGGAGGTGGGGAGACACCCCTGCAATGCAGGCATGGTTCTGAGGCTGGCCTGAAATGGGGAAGAGCTTAGCACAGCCCTGTGCTGGATAACACAGGGAATGGCCGGACCTGTCTTAGGTTGGATATCAGGGAAAGGTTCTTCCCCCAGAGGGTGCTGGGGGGCACTGCCCAGGCTCCCCAGGGAATGGGCACATCCCCGAGGCTGCCAGAGCTCCAGGAGCATTTGGAAAATGCTCTCAGGCACAAGGTGGGATTGTTAGGATGTCCTGTGCAGAGCCAGGTGTTGGACTCAATGCTTCTCTTTCCAGCTCAGCACGTTCTGTGACTCTGTGCTTTGTTCCTCCTTACACCAAAATCCCCACATGGGATTTGCAGGAGCACACCTTCAACAGACACGGAGGAGGCTGAGAATCTGCAACCTGTGGAGGATGCTGAAGAAGGACAGCCCACCTGCTTGTGCTGCTGGAGGTCAACATCTGTCCTTGCAGAAGAGCTGCAGGGCTCCCTGAGGAAGGGAGGGACATTGGGACACTGCCCTGTGCTCCAGGCAGGGCTCTGTGCCAGGAGCTCCCTTGGCAGAGGGCAAGAGAGACCTGAGAGGTGCTTTGTTTTCAGGCATCTCTGGGAAATTGCAGGAACAAAATTAAAGGAGGTAAAAGAAAAACCAGCCCCCACAGCACTTGCCTGAGGAACGAAAACCTCTGATGGTGCTGCTGAACTCTGGGGTCCTCCAGAGAGGGTGGAATCCAGGCTGAGCTCAGATTCTCCATCTCTCTGCCAGGATGGCAAATATGACAGGGTTTCACAGCAGGGAATTCGGGGAGAGATGGGCTTTGGATAAATTAAAACAGACCACTCACCTCCTGGGGTCCCTGCCAAGAGTTACCCTCAACTGAAGGAAAATATTTTTAAAATCGGTTATTTAGGCTTCATTCTCTCAAAGCCAGTGTTCAGGTTGCTCTGGTAACTGCACCAAGGACCTTGCTCTATTTATTTCATATGTCAAAATTCCCAAGGTCCTATAGAAAATAATGATTTTCCATTTATATGGGAAGAGCAGCATAAAAGGGGGAAAGGGATTTAGTCCTAAACCATTTCTGAAATGATAAGAGAAAAGCGTCTCAAATGATGAAAGCCAGTTGACTCCACAAGAGTTAGGCTGAACAACAGGAAAAATACTGCTAAAAGGAGATGAGACCAATGCCCTTTTTTTTGACGCTAAGTGTTCTGGACTTCAAAATGCCCCAGAGACAAAGAAAATCCTCATTTTTCAAAATTGCCCCAGAGGCCTCACAGGTACCTTGCACTGAATTTCTCACTGGGAGAACTGCTGTGGTCTTGCTGGGATTTCAGCCTGCAAAAACAGACAAGGATTAGCAACTCAGCTGCCTGGGTATGAAAGTGCCCTTTCTGCTGAGGGGCAGGGTAGAGCAGGCAAGCTCCAGATCAAGTTATGCTATCGGGTATCTCCTTCCTTTTCAGGCAGAACCTCAGTTGCTGTCTGAGCAAAATGATAGGGAAAGGGGAAATTCCACAGAGATTTGTGTCAAAAGAAGAGAGAAGTCAGGTGGTTTCCCTGCTCCTCCGAGCAGCTTCCTGAATCTAAAATACTGTTCTTCCCTCTGCCGTGGGAAACACTTCTGGTCCCTTCTACCTCCCCCTGCATTTCTCTGCAGTTCTGCATGGTCACCAATCAGGGAAAAGAGAAAGCTTTCAGAAACATCTGAGGCCAAAAAGAGACCACAGAAAATCACGCTTAGCGAGAGGAAATGTGTACAAGAAGTAAATGGTCCCTGAGCCCTGCTGTGTGCACGGCCCTGCAATGGTAACGCTGCTCTGAGAGCTGTCAGCACTCCCGGGGAGGGGAAGCGCAGCGGTCCGGGCTGGCAGCAGGAGCCACGGCCGCCCATGGATGCAGAGCCCCGGGTGCGTGTGCCGGGGCTGTGCCCTCGTGTGCCAGGTGTGGGACAGCGCTGGCTCCAGCTCCAAGCCCGGGAAACAGGAGGAGAGGCTACGCCCCACGCCTGGGCTGGGCTGGGCACAGCGGCTCTGCTCCCTTCCCATTTTTCCTGATGGTTCTGGTTGCGCTATGATAAATGGAAAGCAAATCCCCATCCTGCCATCTGTGCTCCTTTGCTCTCACCGATGGGCTCAAAGACCCAGGTCTTTTCACCCCTTGAGGGGTTTCTCTGGGGCTCTAAAGGTCCTGGGGCCATTGCAGTCCGTGCCCAGAGCCATCGCCCTCCCGCCTCCAGGTCACCTCCGTGGGATGGGAGTATGGCCGCTCCCCTTCAACGCAGAATCCAGTGCAACAGCCACAACATCCCCTGCTGCTGCTAACAGAGCATCTCGGCTCCCTTCCGCACTGCCTGGGCAAGCGAGGCTTTGGGAGCGCAGATGCTTCAGGATCAGCCTCGGAAATAAACGCAAACAAGCGCCTTTTGGAGCTTAAAGCGACTCCTCCTGGAAGCCACTGCAGGGAAAAGCATTTATTTATTAACGAGAGGCAGCAGGAACAGGGCATGAAAGGCGGCTTTGTCTCCCCGGCCACTGCGTGTTCCGTTTGTCTCTATGTTAATGCCTTTCCTTCAGGTGTGCAGGGAATCTCGGGCACAAATCTCCCAGCTCCATAAAACCATCGGGCAAAGAGGAAACCCCGTCTCCCGGGCCCTGCGCATCGCGGAACCCCCGTGTCACCTGCAGCCGCCCCCGAATGAGCGCATCTTTGGTCGCTTTTGCGGGGAAAAGGGGGGTTCTGCGAACGCCGGGGGGCCTGCCGAGGGGCCGGCTCCATGGCCGGATGGAGGGAACGCGGTCTGCCTTCATCCCCGGGGACCCCCAGGGACGCGGGGATCCCCGCCGCAGCGGGCATCCCCGGGGGGGAGTTCCCGGGCAGGGAATCACCTTTCCGGGGGGGTGCGGGGGTCAGCATCCCGGGGGCAGGGGCAGCTGAGGGAGCATCCCGCCTCCCCCCCGCGCCGCGCCGCGCCAGTGCCTGTGCCGGTGCCGTG